AAAAAAAGCTTTTGTTTTTAAAATAAAAATTGACTTTACCTGTAGTGTAGCAAAAGCTAATTGCTGAAGACCGTTAACATAAACTTTTAAACTGCCATTGTTTTACTTTATTTTTGTGGGTGTGGAGTGCGGATGTGTCACATAATCACATCCACACTCAAGGCGATAATAAATATGAATCAGACGTAGCCTTGACCATAAAAGAAAATTTCAAGTTGTTCATTATCGTTCTGTACACTTTTATTGTTATCAATGGAGTTGGCGATAACTATGATAAGACTGATGTTTACTTATTAAGAACTATTTATGTTTGGGTGAAAAATGAATGTTCAGATCTATCTTTTGGCTTGTTTCGTCACAGTGTACGGTCAATGTACATGGATTGGATATTTCCTGAACAAGTTCATCAACAAAATCAGCTGATCAATTTGAAATATCTCAAAGTAAGATCAATAAATATTTGTTGGTCGTAAACATTTTCTTGGTTGCTGCCTCGACGGTATCTAGATAAACTAGAATTTTGGATCTATTTAATCTTATACCAAAAAAAATGATGGTATCTGGTTGTTTTTCAATTGAAACATTTTTTCTTATGCTAATCGATAAGCTCTATCCAACTGTTGCAAAACAACTCTACTGAAATTTTAAATCATAAACATCTAACATATACTCTAAATGCGTTAGAATTCAAATATCTTTATTTGAGTATGCTAAGCACAGTCTACATTTTAACTTTATTAATTTTGAGACGAAAACTTTTATTTGACTCAAATATGTGTAATTTTATGAACTAACAATACACACACCTTTATTGTAAGATATCTTACGTAGTTAGATTTCATTTTCTCACAATTATTTTTAATTTTTATTAAACGAAATAATTGAATTTCTATCTTCTCTATGAAACATAATCCCATTTTTGAATAATATTTTCTCTTAATCATCAGTTCTAATCATGAGTAAATGTACTTTAATTTAAATGCTTTCGTTCATATATAATCGGTTATTTTAAAGAAAATCTACTAATTACAAATTTCGATCAATCTTTATGTATGAAGAAAGTTTCATAATATATGATAAAAGTACTATTAGTAATTGTTATTAAATACTTGCAAATCTTAGTTAGTCGATTAATAATTGAATTGAGAAAAAAAAGATTTTCTACCGAGTATTCATACAATACATGAAGATGTTAATTATTTGCATGAAAGATTAATATTCCAATCTTAATCTATTTTACTTTAGTAGTGACAGTTCATTTAAATGAAAACTTCTATTATCAATACGTAAACTTTGTATTATTTATTTGAAAATTTAAAATATAATAAAGATTTAAGAAAATTTTATTATATGAAACAAATCTTGGTTATGTACAGTAATGATGTCGATACCAAAAATATATAATGAATTTTATTTTTCATGAAAATTCCTTTTTCATCATGGAAAATATATCTAATAGATTGAAATATCTTAAAGAAGAGAGAATTTTCTTCAGAAATATTTCTATAATTAAATCGATATTTTCGTGCTATTTTCTCATTTTAAAAAGCAGTCGTCGATAATAATTAGTAGTTTCTTATGAAGAAAGATTTTCGTATATTACTAAGATTTCGATTAGATTTTATCTTGTCAAAATAAGATAATATTCGTGTATCATGAACATAATAATTTTTTTTTCTTTTTAAATTATATATTCGATTTTTAACTGTAGAATTCATCAATCGATCAAGAATTTTATCGAATATTTTAAAAGTATTCAAAAGATACTAACTGTACATAGATCGTGCAGGTGAATGATGGCATTCAAATTCATCAATCAATTTTTGTGCATCTTCAAAAAAAGCCGAACGACTGAGACAATCGATCTAATAAAATAAATTAATAAAAATTCTATAAATAATCATGTTTATTACCATGGTACTATAAATATTCTCTGATTTCACTTGAATTTTATCAAAAATTGAGCGAGCTTCATCAACCAATCCTGAATGTGAACATGCGTTCAGAATACAAATATAAGTTATTTCATCGATAAATTCTGATGGCATTTGATGAAAAAGTTCAAGTGCTTGAATACCCATTCCATTTAAACCATAATAATTAACTAATAATCAGCGAATAATCGAACGTATTTGTTTTTAAAGAAAAATAAACACAACAAACTCATTGATGTATATTCAATTTGATTTGGTTGAAAACTTTTTTCAAAAATCTTTTTTGCTTCGTCAAAATCTCCAGTTTCTCCCTAAACAAAATATTTTTTCTTTTGCAAGTGAAACAAATAAGAAATTCAATTCTTTGAACTTACCCACATATCGATTAATGCATTATGAATTCGATCATCAACAGCAATAGAATGAGGAATTTGTTTAATAAACGATAGGGATAATGAATAGTCACCAATATCAAATAAAGCTTTTATAATATAGAGATATATAATCAAATCTGCTTCAATACCATCGATTTTCATTTGATTAAATAAATCTAATACTTGTTTAGGATTGTTTTCTTTAATATATCCATTCATCATAATACCATAAGTTATTACAGATTTTTCCATATTTGAAAAGATAATTTGTGCACTTGAAAAATCTCCACATTTTATTAATGCATCTAATAGAGATGTTAAAAGACGAGTATTTGAATGATAATCTTTTAGAATTTCTTTAAAAACTTTTTTAATTAAATTTAATGTTTCATTAGTT